TTTTTATTGATTTCAGAGAGGAAGGGAGAGACAAACATCAAAGATGAGAGAGAATCATGGATCGGCTGCCTCCTGCACGTCCCACACTGGGGATCGAGCCCGCAACCCGGGTATGTGCCCTGATTGGGAATGGAACCGTGACCTCCTGGTTCCTAGGTCGACGCTCAACCACTGAGCCACACCGGCTGGGCCAGGCAGGTTTGGATCTTGGGCGTCTAATGCTCACACAGGGGAAGCCCATGGAAACCGGAGTGTGGCTGTCAGATCTGTTCCTGCCTTTGAGCTGCTTGCTACTCCCTCTGGGTTACCCTTCCCGTCACTTCCCTGACTTCTGCTTGGTCGGGATCACACCGCATGGCTTTCCTTTTGTTTGTACACCCTGATTTCTGTTTGCATGCTTTTAAATCTTAGAAACCAGAGCTGGCAAGGGCTGTTGCTTAGACTCCCAGCAGGATATTTCCTTTAGTGCTTAAGTCAAGTCGCAGCGTTTCAGCCTTCTGGGTAAAAAGCCCGTCTCCACCCTCTGCCCCCGCCACCCTGCGCGGGGGCCTCGGCCTGCCTGTCCGCGCAGGACCGGACCGGGTGGGAGCTTGCTCGCTCGCTGCAGCCGCCCTGGCAACCTTGACTGTGAATGGCAAACATGACCAGGATTCTCTCCTGCCAGGCCTGGGGCCTCGAGCAGGAGGGCAGAACCTACGTGACTCAACCATACCCACTTCCTCTTTCATAAGCCATCACATGATGAGCTACAATCACAATTACGGCCTTGTCTGTGCGAATTGCAGACGCATTGCCTCACCCCAGAAACCCCGGTTCTGTGCTGAGGGGGGAGGCGAGGAGGCGGTGCCCGCTGCAGAAGGCATTGGAAGGCGTCCAGCCCCGCTGTGCTGGCAGGGAGGGAGGGAAGGAGGGAGGGGAGGGAGGGCGGGGGTGGGAGACGAAAACAAAGCTGTGTTTACTTAGCACACATGATAGAGCCGCTCTGAGCGACATGAAAGGCCAGGCAGCAGGAAAGACTCCGTACAATATAAGGAATCGCTGCCCTGGGTCCAGCGCCCGCGGCCTTAACCCCCTTGATCCCGGATCCTTTTATGGCCCAGGGCCGCCATAAAACCAGCCTTTTCATGTTCCTGAAGGCACTGCATTAGGGAAGTTACATCCCCTCGGTTTCGACATTAAACGGTGGTGGTGGTGGGGGGGGGGTGTAGAATAAAAAGGAACTGCTCTGCATGCGGAGAAGAAAAGCTAAGCTTTGTTCTACTACAGAAACCCTTCCTTGGCACCTCTTTGGGCAGAATTCGCATCTCCCTGTCCCTCCCCTGGGCTTTCCCTTGAGGGTAATAGTGCTGCTCGTAGGTAAATGTGCATAATGAGGCCACGGCTCTAACGCCTCCTTCTGTGATGTTTCCGGCTCTGCCTGGTGGGGCCAGCTCTTTGGGGTGCTCAGTGGCTCACCTCCCTGCAGGACGAAGACTAGGCCTTATCGGCTTTGGGCAATGCACCCCCCCACACACACCTCTCCCACCCCCGGGGCCAGGCCACGTGCTAGAACGTGGCACACGTTCTGGGGTGAGGCAATGTGTTTCCGTGGAGAGGGACCAAAGGGGACAGGTCCCGAGAGAGGTGCGACAGCAGGGACGGGAGTGAGCAAGCCCACGCCGTCCCCGGCTGCCTCCCCAGCGAGGAGAGGAGCGGGATCCGGAGGGGAAGGCCTTTCTGGCGGGCGCCCCCTTTCTCTGGAAATCCCCGGGGAGAAAAGAGGCAGCAGTGTTCGCCTGCAAACATTTAAGTCTGGCAATGCATGCATCTCCTGGGCCACCGCGAACAGGTTTCTTCATGTGCCTTAAGCAGCTCCCTGCACTGTTTTTCCTCTTCCTTGTGGTTAATCCTTTGAAGCAACCTGCCATTTTCAACAGCAACTGGAGAGGAACGTCAGCAGGATTTCTCTCTCTCTCTCTCTCTCTCTCTCTCTCTCTCCACCTACCAATCCGGTGGAAGGAACGATGATATAATTAGTACCCTGCTCTTCCCACACCTAACCCGCTCCTTCCAGGCTCCAGGAGCCATGTGGGCCTGTTTTCCAACAAAAGCGGCTCCAGAGGCCGGCCTCGCAGCGTTTGAAGTGTCAAAACCCCAACCAGGAGTGACTAAGCCTGTGTCTATCAGTCAGGAGGAGCAACGACCAGCCAGAGCGATTCACTCCAACACGCGCCAGCTCCTCCTCGCGATGCAAGGGTGCAACTCCAGTGCGCGGTGCAGCCAGGGCTGAGCTGTGGCTGCCAACCGTGGCGGGGGCGCGGGTGGCAGGCACGGACACCCCATCGGGCTACAGCCGGGCCC